TCCTCTGAGGAATGCATTCCTCTGTGAATTTAACATTTCTCAATAAAGAAAGTTTCTAGGGAAATATCAGAATCAGAAGTCTGTAGATAGCAAGGAAACAGGACCATAACAAATTCCGGAACCAAAAGCACCATTCTGCGGGTCTAGGATGGTGGGGGGGTAGATCGAAGTCTTTCCCAATGCTACCTGTGTAGCTGCCAGGGGCTTTCCCAGTCTGGAAGCCAGGCTGGCATCCCAAACCTGAGAATGCAAGAGGTTATCTTGTTCCTCGCTCCAGTGAGACATTTAGGCTGCACCTCACCTTTCCTCTCCAATCCTAAAGAAGCTTTTTAAAGGTAGAGATGGACAAAAATGACTTTTGTGCAGGCCCGAGTGACTTGGGGCTCTATGGCCATCACAAAGAGTGTGACGACCCCAATGAGACCAGCTCTAGTTGTTCCTCCCGATACCAAGGCAAACAGCTGCTTGCCAGCACGTTGCCTGTCCCACTGAGCCCTCTCTGTCTCCACTATGTCCCCTGAGTAACCAATAACCAACAGAACGAGTCACTGACTCAGACTTCCAAGTGTGATGAAGGATCTCGGATCTGTGAGCAAATGAGGAAACCAATGTGCCCACTAAGGAGGGAAGTTCTTTTGCTACTTCCTGGTTTCTGAGTCACTAAACTCATGGAAATTCAACATCTATGACTGATTAGGAAAAACAAAACAAAAAACAAACAAAAAAATCTTCTGACCCAAATGAATACTAGAAATAATAAGGATCTGTCCTCCTTCATCTTCTGAAGTCTAACTTTTCTTTGTGTTTATTGATTATAAAACTCATAGCAGCCCATTAAAGATCAGAACTGGCCTGTAAGAAAAGTAACCACAAATATAGTATTCATAAACAATTAACATTCAAGCCTTTTTTTCTATCCAGGACTATCAATTAAAGTCAGAGTCTCATATATACTAGGAAAGTACTCCTTCACTAAACTACATATTTAGCCCACTTGACTCGTGTGCGCAGCACGCGTGTGTGCATGTGTATGTGTGCATGTGTATGTGTGCGTGTGTGTGCGCGTGTATGTATATGTGTGCGCGTGTATGTGTGCATGCGTGTGTGTATGTGTGTGCATGTGTGTATGTCTGTCTATGTGTGCATGTGTGCGTGCGCATGTATGTGTCTGTCTGTCTATCTGTAGGTATACCTGCCCATGTCTGTGCATCTCTATATAGGCCAAAAGGTAATGTTAAATGTTCTTCCCCAGTTACTCTCTTCTTTTTCTTTTTTTTAAACATAATTTCTTTAGTAATTCTTTGAAAATTTCATATCATGCACCCCAATTCTGTTCATCTAACAGTATTCCCCATATCCACCACCACCCTTGAAGCAGCGCTTCAAAAGAAAAATAAAACCAAACCAAACAAACACAACATTTCTTCACCCCTCCATCCTTCCTGCCTCTCCTGCGCCTCTTCATTGGTCTTACTGGCATTGGGAGCTGCAGTGTGTCACACAGTAGACCCATCTGTCCCATCAGCCTCACTTGCAAATGTTCATTGCAGTGAGTCATTGGTCTGGTTCAAGGCCTCTTCAACCTAATTTCTCCAGACAGAGGTGAATTTGGAGCTCACTAATTTGGCTGGTTGTTCAGCCAGACCCAAGGATCCTCCTCTCCCATGGGATGACATAGGTACATGGCATTTTACCTGGGTGCTGGGAATTCGACCTCAGGTCCCCATGCTTGCATGACAAGCACTTCACTGACTGAGCCATCTTCCTCTCTCATCAACTCATTATTTTTTTAATTTAACCTAGTTTTATATGTATGTGTGCTTTGTGTGCATGCATGGCTGGGCACCAGGTACATGCCTGGTACCCACAGAGGGCAGAAGGAAGCATCAGATTTCCTGGGACTGGAGTTACAGACAACTGTGAGCCACTATGTGGGTGCTAGGAATTGAACCCAGGTCTTCTGGAAGAGCAGCCTGTGTTCTTCACTGCTGAAGCATCTCTCTAGCCCCCATTTTTAATTATCTATTTATTCATTTATTTTTGGTTTTCTGAGACAGGGTTTTTCTTTGTAGTCCTGGTTGTCTTGGAACTCACTCTGTAGACCAGGCTGGCCTGGAACTCAGAGATCTGCCTACTTCTCTGCCTCCCAAGTGCTGGGATTAAAGGCATGCCTCACCACCACCCAGCTTAATGCCCATTTTTTAATTTTATGTTTTAAAGTACACACAAGAACAACTATAGGATCAGAAAGACGGCTCAGCATGTAATGTATTTGTAATGCATCAGTAGGTAAAGGTACGTGCTGTGAAGCCCTGGCAACCTGAATTTGATCTGGGAACTTATGTAAACACGGAAGAAAGGACTCCTGAAATCTGTTCTTTGACCTCTACATTGGCCTGGTGTTTAGAGACAGTTTCTCTGTGTATCCAGGGTTGTCCTAGAGCTCACTCTGTAGACCAGGCTAGCCTGGAACTCATAGAGATCCACCTGTCTCTGCCTCCCAAGCACTGGGATTAAAGGCGTTCACTACCACTGCCCGGCAAGATTTCTTTAATTGCTTTAAAATAGTTAGAATAAGGTGAAACTGAATTTTCCAAATTTAAATGGTTAATATTTGTTCAGAATTTTTTTTTGCTTTATTTCCTTTTGTTTTTTTTTAAAGACAGGACCTTGCTGGCCTAGTACTTACTATGTAGGCCAGGCTAACTTCAAACTTACAGTTCTCTGGTCCCCACCGCCCAAGTGCTGGGATTGCAGGTGCATGCCATCATACTCAAATTTGGATGTGACATCTCAGCCCTTCCCAAACTGAAACAGAATTGTCTTTTAAATCTCCCTTCTCTAAAGAGGAAAACTGAGTCAAGAGAGGAAGCCAGCTGTCCCAAAGTCAGAGAAGCAATACAAGGTGGAGGCAGAAACAAGAAAACCCGGAACAGACCTTCTGGACACATCCTGCCAAGTCTGGAAGTCAAAAGTTCTGGTGCAGAGAGACCAGTAGCACCATTACATTCCAGCAAGCCCTTGCAGGTTGCTCACTGATACAGGAAGCCCCGGGGTCAGATTCTCAAAAGCATCCCAAGAAATGTTTCCATCTTCAGGGCCACTTTACAGATGAGGAAATGGCTCAGACAAATAAATACATTCATTTGGCCAAGTTCAGCTACACTGGCTTATGATCACAAGGTGCATATTAACATTGGTGTAAGCACTAACTCCACATAATCCTCGTAATTAACACTGCAAGGTAAATTCCATTGTTACTCATCCTTCTTACCTAAATAACTCATCTAAGGCCCTATTCTTCCTAAGTAAAGGGCAAGGCCAGGATTCACTCCGGCTTAAAGCCCTTCTCAAAACAAAGTCATGGTAACATGGTAGTGGAACAGAAATTCAAACCCAGTCTGTGAGTTCAAGGCCAGCCTGGTCTACAAGAGCTAGTTCCAGGATAGCTACAAAGAAAGAAAGAAAAGAAAAGAAAAGAAAAGAAAAGAAAAGACAAAAGAAAGAAATTCAAACCCAGCTCTAACTCCCGAGTCAGAACCTAATTGCCCTTCGGTCTGCCGAACTGTGGTGGGAAAGCCTGGAAGTGCTCTGGGGAGTCAAGGAAGGTACATTTAAGGGACAGCATCTTGAAAGAGAAAGTGATTTGGGGACACAATAATGTTTGTAGAAGAAATGCAAAGTAAGGACTCCCATCCAAGGAACGCCTTTCTCAAACAGCAATGCAGCCACGAGCAAAGCGTTACACTATTAAGAAAATATGAGTAAATTAGAAAATCTTTACATCATCTTATTTAAAAATACTCTTGATGAAGGAAAACAGGTTTTTAATTCCCTTTCATTTTGGCCACACACTTGAAATTCAACAAGGAGCCACAAAGGGTGATTTTCCTTGTCACGCTAGACTGGCATCCTGACTTTGAACAGCTACTTCCTCAAACTGAGTCCTGCAAAGCCCAGTCGTTTATCAGAACTCCAGGGACCTTTGCAAAATTCTCCTTCGAGTCTTGAAATAATCATTTAGAAACTGAAAAAATGGCCGGGAAAAAAAAAATCAAGCCAAGAAGTGGGGGAAAGTAGCGCACCTCCTTCTGGTTGGACCAGGGGCTCATTCGTGGTCAAGTTCTGGCAGAAATGCCGCAGAGCCGGATTCATTTTAACTGGCAATCTGTTTTATGACCACAGTATCGGCAGCTGCGGAAGCACAAGTCTTAAGCATAAGCCCAAGAAAAAGGAACAGGAAGCGGTGGGAATGGCGAGGGAGCCCCGGAGCTGAGCTGGTTCCTGGATTTGTGAGATTGGGCAAGTGATAATTCTAGGAAAAGTGCAGGGCGACCGGCCAACTCCAGGGTCCCAAACGTGGGCCCTAAACAAGGTACTTTCTCGCCCCCTTGCGGACCCAAGTGACAACTGACAATGTGCCAATTAAGGGATAGCTAAAGGGCTCCGAAAGGTTCTCCAAGATGAGCGTTCTGCTAGAGCAACCCTTCAAGGGACTCGCAGAGATCCGCTCAGATTTACATATAAGTAAATTGGGGCTCAAGGAAGAAAAGCATGTCTTGCAAGCAAAAAGGAAAGCTGAAGTGAAGGCAGACGTGGAACTGGTGCCTTTTATCTGGAAGTCCAGGGGCTGGGGTCCGATTCGATCCTTCTTTTCGGACAGAGCAGGCTAGGCTGGCATCAGGGAAACCTGGCAAGGAGACCGCGCGCACTGAGGGGTGGCGAGTCCACGGGACGCAGGGCTGCAGAAGCCCAGCTAGGTCGCAGCCTGCACCACGCGTTCCCGTCATCGGTCCCTGCAGCCTTCCTGAGGCTGCCAGTCTCGGGGCTGTAGCCGCCAAAGCACTCGCGCCAGCGAACCAACCAACCCAGACGTCCGCAACGGTACCCGCGCCAAAGGCAACTAGCCTGCCACCAGTCACACCGCGAGTGCTCTCCGGACCGCGGCGGGCACCACGAGCAGGTTAACCGGGGAGCCCACCGACTGAGCCTCTCCTTACCGGAGCTGCTCCCCGGTGACGAGGACTTCAGCCATGCGTTCCAGTTCTCTCTGCTGTGCCCCACCACTCCCGCCGGGGTTGCTGTCGCTGCCACCGCTGCCGCCGCTGCTGCCCTCCTCCATGCTCCCGACCGCGCGGCTGCTGTTACTCTGCCTTTGCTGTCCCGCCCGGTGCCTGGCTTTCGAATCAGCCTGCCCTCGCCGAGGCCGCCCCGGCCATCTTTGTTCCTGGCGGTCCCGTGGCTCACGAGCGATTGGCTCTTGAGGGAATCCCTGCGGGCAAGCTGGAGATTTCGGCGAGTCCAGCCCTGGAACTTCGGCATGGGGGCGTGGCCTGGGCTCGCTCGTGGCCGGGGGCGGGGCCAAGGAGGAAAACATAAACATCTGGGCGGGGCAGTGAGCTGAGTCTTCTGGAGGTTGAGTGTTTTCTCTCCTTTTATATTTCTTTTCTTTTCTTTTTTTTTTTTACTTCCAAAGTCATGCTGGGGAAGTTTGCATATTTACTGTACTTTCCATAGCCGAGTTGCAGAGAATAAAAACAAGAATCATATACTTAAATAATGAAGGGGCATTCCACACGGCCTGACGACTTTCTCTGGAGACAGTCTACCTTATGGTGGAGTCAGTAAAGCATCTTGACCTGGGGTTGAAAAAGACTAAGAATCTGGCTTCATTCCTGCGATTTCCTAACTAAATGCTCTTAATCCCTTCTTACAATAATTGTAGCTAGCACCTGTCCACACCCGGTGCATGAAAGATGCTTCAGGCAGGTCATTCGTTGCCTTGCTTAATTTTTCCAGATCATCATCTGAGCGTTGCCTTCCTTTTACATCTAGAAGGCAGCTAGGAAGAGTGAGGAACCTGGTCCCCTGCAAGCAGGCAAGGTCAGCCTAGATTTTAGGGTGTGTTTTAAAACAACTGCATCTTCCGAGGCGTGGTATGACTCACCTGTATTCCCAGAACCCCAGAGAATGAGGCAGGAGGATGGTGAGTTTGAACCAGACTGGCCTGCAAAGATGCCTTGTCTCATAAAACAAACTAAAACAACAGCAGTTCACTTGACGAGATGAAGCAGTGCAGTAAACTTTCAGGAGAGTGTCGTGAAACACGCTTGAATGGCAGAACCGGGCTAAAATGATCATAAAAATGGATCGTCGTCATCCCTTCTCATTTTTAGTTTGTAAACATTCGCGAACGTCTGCGTAACTGCAATTCAGAGGTTGTGTCTTTCATGGTCAAATAGATATTTTGAAGTCTCTTTGAGTTTCCCCTCTGTAACATACAGGCACTCGTATCTGTGTACCTTAACCCAAGTACTAGGACAGCAACAACTGTAGCAACATGCAGGAAGGTGTCAGTACAGACCACAGCACTTGCTGCTGTGAATATTACCTGAACTTCCTGAAGACTGGGTTCTGACCCTTACTGGTCACAATAAAAATAGAACGGTTAGCACTTTGCAAAGTCCAATTATTGGTAAATAAAACCATCATAGTCCCATTTTAAGAGACATATTAAAATATAATGTTTCAGATAGAATCTTGCTTTATAACCCAAGTTGACATCAAACTCATGATTCACTTGTCTTAGCCTCCGAAGGGCTGGGATTACAAACATGAGCATCAAGCTCTTCTCTGTTTTTTTTTCTAAAAAGACCAGTCCTCATGGCTTACTGGAGTTTGCTGAGCTTTTATTTATGTTTCTGCTTTACCAGACACCATGCACCTTTTATATATTGTTTTAATTTATCCTCACGAAGCCCTGTTAGGTCCTAGTGCTTCAAATATAAATGCGAAAGGAGAAATAGCTTAAGTTTCACAACTAGTAAGTTAGGCAACCCTTCAATGCTTTCTCTATAGATTTTCAAGACTATGATCAGCCACATTCCAGAAAGGAAATAACTCTCTTTAACAGAATATCTTAGGCAAATCCTCTGCCAAAAGAAATTATTTATGCCTATTAACTTTTATAAACAGACAATATTTTAAAAGGTGTACCAAGAGAGAAAGCTCTCCGCTACATTCAATTCTCAGAGTCCCATTCTAACAGTATAAACACCATTACCAGTAACAGAGGTGGATGGCCTAGAGTTAACGAGAGTAAAGGCTGTGTGTTTCTCATGATTTTTGTTTGTTTTCTGTTTCTCTGTGTAGACTGGCTATCCTGGAACTCAGAGGTCTGCCTGTCTTTGCCGCCAGAGTGCTGCAATGAAAAGTGTGCACAACCATGTCCAGCTACTGTTTCTTGTGTTTTAAATTTTATACTTAGTACACAGAAAACAGATTTTTTTTGGCATGGGTATTTCACTCAATCCTGCAATCTTGATCCTTGTTCTATCATTGTCTAACTTTACAATCTTATACTGGTCACTAAATCTCTTTGGTTCTCAATTTCCTATTGATAAAATAGAAATAATAATTCTTAGTTTCTAAGTATGGTCTTTGACATTCATCAAATAATGGTTTAATTAAATAAATTTTGAAGATCCATTTTAATAACAAAATTTTGTAGATTTATGACAAAAAAAATCACCATAATTTAAGGCTAACAATTTTCAGGTCAGGAAAATATCTGACCTGGAAGGGAAAGTAGCTTTTAATATTATTTTTAGATTCAATACTTTTTAGTCAGAACTTGAACTCCTGATTTTCCTGCTTCCACTTCCACTTCTCAAGTGCTGCTGGGCCTGGATATTTTTCTTGAAAACCCCTCCCATTTCTCTCTCTCTCTCTCTCTCTCTCTCTCTCTCTCTCTCTCTCTCTGTGTGTGTGTGTGTGTGTGTGTATAGTGTGTGTTCGGTGGCAATGGTGTGTGTGTATGTGTGTGTGTGTGTGTCGAAGTGATCTAAGTGTGATATTTTGGTGAAATACAATATACATTAAGTAAAAAAGCATGGTTAACACATATCAAACCTAGCACTCAGGAGGCAGAGGCAGGTGGATGCTGTGAGTTCAAGGCCAGCCTGGTCCACAAGAGCTAGTTCCAGGACAGGCTCCAAAGCCACAGAGAAACCCACGAAAGAAAAAAAAAAAACCTATGTGGGTAATTAGAATGTTTCTGAGTGGATTTCTCTCAATAACAAACAGTACATGTCCGTTTTTTATTTAGGTTAGTGGCCTCTCTGGTCAATCCTATTTTGAGCAGTGCTGGTGTAATGAACTCTTCCTAAAGGTGAGTCAGAAAGTGAAGTGACAGGCTGGAATTACTAAAAATGCAAAAGCCTAGACAGTGTCGGCTGACAAGCTGAGTGGTAGATTAGAGTTATCTGGACTTGGTGAAGCACACCCAGTTCCCAACATTTGGAAGACAGAAGGAAGGTCAGTAGTTCAAGGTCAATCTTAGGCACCTAGCAAGTTCAAGACTAGCCTAGAATGTGAAAATGAACTAACAAACTATGGCTGCTGCTTCTAAGAGTCCATCTGTCTCAGTCCTGCTTGATGTTAATGAGATGACTTCTGTCTGTCATCTTCCTGGGCTCTCCTTCCCAACAAGTTATACTTCTCTATGAATTTATATTTTCTTAAAAAAAAAAGTTTCGGGCTGGAGAGATGGCTCAGTGGTTAAGAGCATTGTCTGCTCTTCCAAAGGTCCTGAGTTCAATTCCCAGCAACCACATGGTGGCTCACAACCATCTGTAATGAGGTCTGGTGCCCTCTTCTGGCCTGCAGACATACACACAGACAGAATATTGTATACATAATAAATAAATAAATAAATAAATAAATAAATAAATAAGTTTCGAGTTGGGTGGTGGTGGCGCAGGTCTTTAATCCCAGCACTCGGGAGGCAGAGGCAGGCAGATCTTTGTGAGTTCGAGGCCAGCCTGGTCTACAAGAGCTAGTTCCAGGACAGGTTCCAAAGCTACAGAGAAACTCTGTCTAAAAAAAAAAAAAACCAAATTAAAAAAGTTTAATTATATTTTAGTGGATGTGTGTGCGTGCACACAGGTAGGTATGAGACAACAGCTGGATGGAGTCGGTTATTTCCCTCCACCATGTTGGTCCTGGAGACTGAACTCAGGTTCTCAGGCTTGGCATTCCATACTTGGACCATTTAAGTCATCTCCCCACCTCCCGAGTTTACATCTTTTTATAAGAGAGTTAGAGTCAAACATTAATGGAAGTCCTGATTCTCTTCCCACACCACCGCTTTGGTTTTTTTTTTTAATCAAGACAGGATTTCTATGTGTGTAGCCCTGGCTGTCCTGAAACTCGCTCTTGTAACCATGCTGGCCTCGAACTCACAAAGTTCCGCCTGCCTCCCCAGTGCTGGGATTAAAGGCATGCATCACCATCACCCCATGGAAGACCTGATTCTTTAGCAACCACATTTGTGATTGGTTTTGTGAAAAGAAGAACCGGATGGTTTAGAACATCTTCTCCAATATATCTGCAAAGGACCTGGTACATGTTGCCTCAGACTCCGTGAGTTCTTAGGAGCTTTGCTCATACAGATTTAGAGAGCCTTGCTTTCTGATGCCCTCCATCCCCTCTGGCTCCAACACTCCTCTTTCTCAGGGTTCTCTGAGTTCGGAAGGGAAGGGTTTGATGGATTGATGGAGACATCCTCTGAGGGCTGAGTGTTATATCTAAATATTCTTGTTGCTAGCTATGTTGAGACAGGGCCCAGTCTTTAACAAAATGATTGTAAGGTCTGGGACTGTATCTTAGTGACAGAGCACTTGCCTAGCGCGGTCAAGGGCTTGGGTTTTATCCCCAGCCCTGTCAAAAGCAAATAGGTGAGACCTGAAAACCAATATTTAACAACAAACAAAAGACAAATGACAGCAAGTAAAGATAGCGAAAAAATAAGACACCCATGTCTTCATAATTCACACCCACTTTAATATATTATTGTACGGATTCATCGTTTTGTAAGAAAACAGTACAGAAGAATTCAGCCCTCCTTAACCACGCCAGATCTTTTAATATATTGGTAGGTGGTGCTGCCATCTACTGACTACTTTTGCAATGACACTAAACAATTGTAAACTTCCTATGGAGAAATGGCCACCTCCCAGAGGTTCTATTGGGAAGTTTACAGTCTATTCCATTTATGGGGTGGTGCTGGCTTTTAGTGAACAAATACTAGATATGATATGTACTTAGGGAAATAATCTCACAAAGAATTGAATTGACCCAAATCTCAATTGTCTTTCTTAGAAGGTAGTTTTTGCATGATTTTAACCTAATACAGAATGGCCAGGAATGTGATTATTGTATGTATGAACAAAGAATTGTACCTTGTGCTGTTCCAGTCTTTTTTTGTGTGTGG